TCCCCGCACCGAGAGAGGCCCATCGAGCAGCGTCTGCACCGAGCCGCACCAAGCCGCCAGCCGGCGCGACTCCATCTCGCACCGCACGTCGGCGGCGCGGCCCCCGGCCGGCAGAGGGCACGAGATCTCGATCTCCCCCTCCGTCTCCACCCACGAGTACCCACTCACGTGCCTCCCCTCGATCTGACGCCCCTCGTCCACCCACGCGCTCCGCCCGGCCGCCGCGGGCGGTGCGGCGGCGGCGGCCGGCGGCGCAACGGCGGGCGGAGCTGCCGCGGCGGCGGGCGGAGCTGCTGCGGCGGCGGGTGGTGGCGGCGTTGCTGGCGGGGTGGCGGCGGCACCCGCGGCTGCCGCTGAGGCGGTCGGGGCGTCCGCTTGCGCCGGGTTTGGCGTTGCCTCCGCTGCACCGTCTGGTGGAGCCTCTGGCGCGGGCGAACGCTCGCCGCCGCCACCGTCGGCCCAGGCCGCCTTTGCCCGCCCCTTCTCGGCCCTCCCGTCCTCGGCTGTCCCTCCCGTTGCCCTCCCTTCCGTTGCCCTCCCTTCCGTTGCCCTCCCTTCCGTTGCCCTCCCTTCCGTTGCCCTCCCTTCCGTTGCCCTCCCTTCCGTTGCCCTCCCTTCCGTTGCCCTCCCTTCCGTTGCCCTCCCGGCCTTTGCCCTCTCCTTGGTTGCGACGAGCTCGCGGTAGCGCTCGACAAAGTCGACCTACGGGACATGTCTCGGACATGTCTCGGACGTGTCCTGGACGTGTCCTGGACGTGGTGCCGCTCGGCAGCGTGATGCGGCGAGAGAGGAGAGGGGTTGTCGAGGGCAGGTGGGGACAGGCGGGAGGGCGATGCCGAGGAGAGGGTGAGGGCAGGTGGGGACGGGACCACGCGTCGGGGGGTGGCGACGGGTCCAGACCAGAGCTGATCTCTCCCGCACCTCGTCCGGGTTGTGGCTGCTCATCAGGTCGCGCACCTGAGGGACATGTCTCGGACATGTCTCGACATGTCTCGGACATGTGATGCACGCGTCCGGGACACGACCACGGCGGTGCGCCCCCCTTCTCGCGCACGTTGCACGTCTGCTGGTATCTCCGCATATCTCCGCATATCTCCGCATACCTCCGCATATCTCCGCATATCTCCCAATATCTCGCGCACGTTGCACGTCTGCTGGTATCTCCCCATATCTCCCCATATCTCCGCATATCTCCGCATATCTCCGCATATCTCTCCATATCTCGCGCACGCTGAGCAGCTCGAGCTCGAAGGTGACGGGCGAGCTGGGAGGGATGAGCGGAGGGGCGCCCGCATCGCCGTACGCGTACGACGGCCCACATTCGAGCCGCACCTGCTGACCCACCCGCATCCGAGGCAGCGCAAGGTCCCACCCGAGCGCAGCGTCCGACGGCTCCGCGCCGACCCGCACCTGCAGAGGCGGCGCCTCGCCCTCCCACGAGTCGTGCAGCACGGTGCCGTCGGCGAGCGCGGCGCGGAAGCGCACCGTCGCGTAGACGCCCGCCGAGGCGCGCGCCGCGGTTGGGAGTGGCTCTCGCAGCGTCGTCATCAGACAGCCGCCGTCGCCGCTGAGGTCGAGCGGCGTCGGCGGTGTCGTCATGGCCAGCCAGGCGACGAGCCGTCGCACGGCAGGCGGAGAGTCCGAGGCGAGGGAGCCGTACCGCATCTTGGTGGCGGTCGCGATGAGCAGCGAAATGCGTAAGAGCGCTTTTTGCAGCCGCTGGCGCGAGCACGGGCGTTTTGCTTCCTAGGCTTGCATTTAAGAATTCTTGGCTCCGTGAAACAAGGTCGCTGTTTTTCTTTCTCGCGATGTCCACGCCGCCGCTCGCGCCACCTCGCCTCTGCCTCCACCGCCGCCCCCTCGCCAGACACGCCGCCGCCCACCCGCCTCCTCGACCTCCCCACGGACCTCCTCGTGCGCGTCTTCTCTCGCTGCGACCCCGCCGACATCGCTCGCGTCGCGGCCGTCTCGCTGCTCTTCCACGCCTCGCTTGCGCTGGAGGGCATCCGCTTGTGGGCGCAAGAGCGCGGCTTCGAGCTGCCGGCGCTGCCAGAGGGCGAGGGCTGCGCCGTGCGGTGGCTGTGCTTTGCTGCGCTGCTGCGCGAGTCCAACCCGCCGGCGAGGGTGGCGGCAGGCTGCTTCCACAGCGTCTTCATCGTCGGCGAGGGGCGGCTCTCGTCGTGTGGCTCTGCGCCTCCTCAAGTCTCAGGCCTCCTTGGCCACGGCGAGGGCGTGACGCAGCTCAACACGCCGACCCGCCTCCCGTCGACGCTGGGTGGCGAGCGCGCCGTGAGCGTGTCGGCGGGATGGGCGCACAGCCTCGCCATCACCGGCGGCGGCGCCGTCTGGAGCTGGGGCCAGGGAGGCGTGGGCGCGCTGGGCCACGGCGACGAGGCGATGCAGGACCAGTGGCAGCCGAAGCAACTCGAGACTTTGGCTGGGCGGCGCGTCGTCGCTGTCTCGGCGGGAAGTCACAGCCTCGCCCTCACCGCCGACGGAGAGGTCTGGAGCTGGGGCTATGGAGGCGATGGCCGGGTGGGCCACGGCGACCAGGATCTCCAGCTGCTGCCCAAGAAGATCGAGGCCTTGGCTGGGCAGCGCGTCGTCGCTGTGTCGGTTGGAGGCAACCACAGCCTTGCCCTCACTGCCGACGGCGCCCTCTGGAGCTGGGGCGCAGGAGCCTGTGGCAAGCTAGGCCACGGCGACAGCGAGCGCCAGCTGCTGCCCAAGAAGGTCGAGGCCTTTGCTGAGCAGCGTGTCATCGCAGTCTCGGCTGGAGACCAGCACAGCCTCGCCCTCACCGCCGACGGCAGCGTCTGGAGCTGGGGCTATGGAGGCGATGGCCGACTAGGCCACGGCGACGAGCAGGACCAACTGCTGCCCAAGAAGGTCGAGGCGTTGGCGGGGCGGCGCGTCGTCGCTGTGTCGGCCGGACTTAACCACAGCATCGCCATCACCGCCGACGGACCTGTCTGGAGCTGGGGCCCTGGAGGCTTTGGCAGGCTGGGCCACGGCGACCAGCAGAGCCAGCTGCTGCCCAAGAAGGTCGAGGCCTTGACTGGCCAGCGCTTCGTCGCTGCGTCGGCTGGAGGCCAGCACAGCCTCGCCCTCGCCGCCGACGGCGCTTTCTTTACCTGGGGCAAGGGCGAGCGCGGCTCCCTAGGCCACGGAGAGGACCTGTCGAACCAGCTGCTGCCCAAGAAGATCGAGGCGTGGGCGCCGGGGCAGTGATGAGACGGGCGAAAGGGTGCAAGGCTCCGTGTTGCCACGCCGCCCACGTGCCTCTTCGCCACCTGCGAGCGTATCCGAGAGTGGCGAGAGGCGAATCCAGGACGGACGATGAGATTTATGCATTGTGGCTGTGATGAGGGGCGCACAGAGATGAACCAGATGTGGACGGCAAAGGAGTGCTACAGTGAAAATGATCGTGTGTCGGACGGCTCTCGCGCGCGGCGGCTCTCCCGCGACCACAGCCCCTCCCGCAGCCGCAGCCGTAGCCGCAGCCCCATCGCTTGCCGCTCTTCTGTGTCGGGTTGTGATGAGGGTGAGGGGACGGATTGAAGAGATCCCTCACAATACAAGAGAAGTGAGATCGTGCAGGGCGGGGTCGGGGACACATGCACATGCACATGTACATGTGCATGCACATGTTGCACATGTCCATCTATAGCAACAGCCGCTCCTCCCTCGCTCGCTCGCTCGCTGCTCGGACTCGGGTGTGTCGTGACTCGTGTGACCACCCTCTCCCCAATGGGCCCCATAAACCCCAACAAAGAACAGGAAATAAGACCTCGAGAGAGAGTAGTGCCGAAGGCGCCCTTTTTGATTGAGCGCTTGCTTTTCTGGAATTGGTCGGACCGGTCCAGCTCATCATTTTGGCCCCGATGTTCCCCACATTCCCCCGTCCACGAGCACATTCGTGCTGGCACCGATACAGCGCCACCACAGTCGGCATCCAACATTCCGTCGCCGACGCCGCCGCCACCCTCCGCCTCGCCGTCGCCACCGCCTCCCTCCACCTCGCCGTCGCCGCCGCCTCCCTCCGCGTCGCCCTCGCCGCCGCCTCCCTCGACCTCACCGTCACCGCCGCCGCCGTCCGCCTCGCCGTCGCCGCCACCTCCCTCGGCATCGCCCTCGCCGGTTGAGCGGCAGCAGGCCATCGTTGAGCGGCAGCTGGCCATCGTTGAGCGGCAGATTGAGCGGCAGCTGGCCTTCGTTGAGCGGCAGCTTGAGCGGCAGCTGGCCATCGTTGAGCGGCAGCTGGCCATCGTTGAGCGGCTCGCTGCTGCTGCCGCGGCCAACGGGTCGCTGATGCATATCATTCAGCGCTATGCGCTCCTCGAGCAGCGAGTCGACCCCGCGCCGCTCATTGCGGGTTGGAACCGCGCCGTGGTGGCGCTCGGCCTCCAAGGGCGCAGGTTCGGATCGGCCTTTGCGCTACATACCTGCTCCGGTGTGCGGCTCATCACCAGCCACCACGTCCTCCTCGACTGCGGCTGGGATGCGGACTCTCGGCCGCTGATCGACGTCGGCGTTGGCGCCTCGATTACGTATAACAGCTGGCCCCACCGTGCGGAGGTACTCGCCCACTCGCCCTCGCCGGCCGGCCGCCGCGACGCCGCCGACCACCGCGCCGGCTATCCCAAGCCGTTTCTCGATCTCGCGATGCTCGAGCTGGTGCACGGGTCTTTGCCCAGCGCCTTGGAGGCTGGCAACGACGTGCAGGTGGGCGACCAGGTGGTGATCCTCGGCTACGGGACGCAGAACTACAAGCATGCCGCCGTGCAGAACACCATGTACGGCTCGGTCGCGTGCATCGAGCGGGTAGACGAGAAGCACGGCTGCCGCGTAATTGACATCCAGGGCGACATCCTCGACGGCCACTCGGGCGGGCCCATCGTATCGCTGCGCACGCGGAAGGTCATCGCCATCTCTGTCGCCTCACACTCGGTCTCACAGACCGGCTTTGTCGTGGGGATCGATGGCCTGACCTGCCGCGTCTCGAACGCCGTTGGAGGCCTCCACTTTGGAGTTCCCGTCACGGAGCTCGCCACCTTCTTCACGGCGCTCCGCTTCTCTCCATCGTTTTAGTTTGCTTCCCGCTGTGGCACGCGGAAGGGTGCAGAGGCGTCGCCCGGCGGGGATGGCGGAGCGGGGGAGAGGGGGGGGGGGGGGGGGTCCCTGACCATGGACTCCCTAAAGCGAGCAGGGGAGCACCTCTGTCTGAAAACGGGGACTTTACTGGGTCACGAGATCCTTCGGGGTTGTTGGACTTTCGTTTTCCCCCCCTCCCTGGGCCTGCGCTGTAAGTTTCCTGTATCTGGGGGCCGCGCGGCTTCCTCCCTGTCCCATCGACTGGATCACTCTTCACATATTCAGGTTCACTTGTGCGCTCGCGTCAGCGTTCAGCAAGGCTCCCATCGTACAAACAAATAAATAGAGCAGACATCTCCAGGAGAGATGGGCGACGCACGAACACAGAGGGACAGTGCGCACCCCGCCCCGCTCGCAGGCCGCGTGCAGCACACAGCAACACAACTGGTTGGGTAGTAGTCTAAGTTCTGAGCCTCGAGGCTTAGCGGGTCTAAGTGTGCTCTGGCACGCTGGGTGCTTGCGCGGTCTAAGATCAGCGGGAGCCTCTTACATCGGCTAAGTCGGCCGTGGCACGGCCTGGGGCCAGGAGGCTCCCACCGTGATCAACGATACGGCGCAGCTCCCAAATTTTCTTCGCCTGCGGCGGGCGATCGATCCTCTTCATGCTTAGCAATCGCCGCCTCAGCATCCTCCTCTTCCGATTTTCGTTGCTGCTCCTTCATTCTTGAGCGACGTCTAGCCAAACAGTTCCCACATGACACGAAGCTCCTCAAGCTTAACCCTTTCGCGCCATAAGGGTCATGGTGACCCAATCTCGATATATCTCCAGTCGTAGCGGTGGAACTTTTTTTTGGCTCGGTCAATTATTTAGCCATATATGAGAGGATCACGGCACAGTGTCGTTTGAGTCGACAGTAACTCTCCCACAGCCCACGTAACTCCGTCTTTTTCAGGCACCCGGAGCCCTCCGCGGCCGCTTCTACGCCGGCGAAGCACCATCAAGCTGCTGTACGGCCCCGGCATTGCCTCCCCTGGCTTAGCTCTCAGTCAAGATATTGTGCACATGGGTGGCCTCTACAATAACTCACTGACACTGAACCTCCCAGAGCTTGCCCCGGTCCGTCACGGCCATCCTCGTCCTCCGGCGACACTAGGCACGGGACTGGCGCGCACTAACACAGGTACGACCCTCCCACAAGTGCTATGAGCCCCAAGCCCGCATGGCTCTCTCCTGCCGCTCGTCGTCCATCCCGTCGAGCAGGTCGGCCAGTTCGCTATGCTGCGCGGCCGCCGCGCGGCGATGCGCGCCCGCTCGCGTCCCCGCGGCGACCGCGTCCTCCTCGCCGCCGCTCTCCTCGCCGCCGCCCTCCTCGCCGCCGCTCTCCTCGCCCTCGGTGGAGGCCGCCGCATTCGTGCCGTCGGCTGGCGTCGGCATCGCGGTCGCGCGCCGCCACTGCGCTCGTCGTCAAGCATGTGCCAGTACTGCTCGCCCTGGTAGCCGTCGTATTCGACCTCGTGCACGGGCCGGCCGTCCACGTCCTCCTCTCGCCCCGCGATGGTGGCCGGCCACCACAAGCCTTGCTCGCCCAGGATCTCGACGTGCGTTCCCGTCTCCACGATGGTGTGCCCCGCCTGCTTCGCCGTCTCGTCCACCCGCAGCCGCTCCCACCGCTCCCTCTGGCCCTCCCTCGCCGTCGGAAGGGCGTAGTTCGGGTCGCTCTCCTCCACGCCGGCCAGCACGTCCGCGGCACTCACCGCCTCGACGTCCGTCGCCTCCTCCGCCGCCGGCTCGGTCGAGCCGCCCGCCGCCTCCCGTAGTCGGCGCTGCCGCTCGCGCTCGTAGTGTGCTCCTCGGCGCTCGACGCCGCCGCCCTCGTGGGTGCACGCACGCCGCCTGCGGTGCCATCTCGGCTTTCGCGCGCGCAGATTTTTGTCAATTTTGCACAAACTCCGAGGCAAAGCCCCTCGAACGCGCGAAAACGCCGGCTTTCGAAACCCGGCGCCCGCCCTCTTTCTGGCCGCGTCCCTCCCCTGTCCTCTCGACTGCACTCCTCTTTTACATACATAAATCCCATCTCGTCTCAGAGTTTTGACCGTTTTATTTAGTTATGACCGCGCAAGACATAAGGGTGGCTCACAGGGCTCTGCCCGCAAGGCGCCCGCGTCGCCGACGCGGTACCATTGACTAATCCCCGAATCACACCCACACGACCAAATAGCGAAAATCCGAATGCCGTGCAAAAACCACGGAATCTGAGCAGAAGAACGTCGGTTCAAGTTTGGCAAACGCTAAACATGGGCGATCCGCTTCCTTTTCAGTGTATGTAGCTCTTACGTACATTCCCGTAGGAGACTCTGCTGACTTTTCGACCCTGGACGGACGAAATGATCGCGGAAAAGCGGGACCGCTCGCGACATCGGAGGTTCACCATATATGCCGAGCCTGCTCGGCCTGCCATGCGCGCGCCTCGCCCGAGCGCAGCCACCTGCGGGCCTGGCCAGCCTGTTCCTGGCTCGTGCCCAGCCTCTCCTTCCGCTGCCGCCGGCCTCGCAGTCCCGCCTGCCATCACGCTGCAGAGCCTGCGTAGACGCCACAGACGCCAATTCTGCAGCCCACAGCCCTGGCAACTGAGGGCGAGGGCCAGCAGTATACGACGACGACGACATCTCACACCCCGCGCTGGCCAGCGCCATCAGCCCCTCACGGCCCGGCCCAACCTCCCATCGCTAGCGCCATCGCCTCCAGCGCCTCCAATCAAGTCGCACCTCTCTTCTTCAGCCAATGCAGCGGCAGCACCACGTCAGAGGCCGGGTGACTGGCGGACCTGCAGCCAGCCATGCCTCCCCCTCCCCACCCGCTTGGATCGATCAGCTGACAGCTCCATCAGCTCCACCACCGCGTGTCGTGTCATGAAGCATGAGATAGACATAGAAAGCATGAACCATCGAAAGGTCTGGTCTCCAAAAAGAGAACTCTCGGCGCCCGCCGCGCGCGCCCGCGCCCCGCCCCTTTTGCGCAGCAACACCTTAAATTTCATGGCCCTCCAAATTCGGGTCGGAGCGTAGCGGAGTGGGCCCCGAGTTTGAAAAAGGCGACGGACGCTTGCGTCCTAGCCTCCAACAACGCCTCCCCGGCGCAGAGGGGCCCCCGGAGGGATGCTCAACCGCTCCACGCCCCGCCGCTTGCGGCGGTCCTATTCCCAGTGGGGCCAGAAGAGAAAGAAAGAAAACAGACAACCCAAGGGAGGGATGGGAGGACCGCACGCCGCCACCACACAGGGATTTTAAGGAAACTGGGGCCAGTTTTCTTATTTGACCCGAGTTTTTCTTTCCTCGCGATACCCGAAGGAGCTCTTTTGTAAAATTCTTTTTCTAGCCTCGCCTGTCGCGTGAATCGTGTAAAAGAAAGAAATAAAACGGACAACCCAAGGGAGGGATGGGAGGACGGCACACCGTGAATCGTGTCGTGCGAGCGGGCCAGTAAAATTCTTTTTCTCGCGATATAGGGACCCTATATGTGATCATATATGTCCACCCCGCCGCGCCGCCGCTCGCGCCGCCTCGCCGCCTCCGCCACCGCCGCGCCCTCGCCAAGCACGCCGCCGCCCGCCCGCCTCCTCGACCTCCCCACGGAGCTCCTCGTCCGCGCCCTCCCTCACTGCGACCCCGCCGACATCGCTCGCGTCGCAGCCGTCTCGCTGCTCTTCCACGCCTCGCTTGCGCTGGAGGGCATCCGCTTGTGGGCGCGATCGAGCTGCCGGCGCTGCCAGAGGGCGAGAGCTGCGCCGTGCGGTGGCTGTGCTATTCGGCGTTGCTATGCGAGTCCAACCCGCCGGCGAGGGCGGCAGCAGGCCTTCTGCACAGCGTCTTCATCGTCGGCGAGGGGCGGCTCTCGTCATGCGGCAATGCGGATCACGTCCCAGGCCTCCTTGGCCACGGCGAGGGCGTGACACAGCTCAACACGCCGACACGCCTCCCTTCCCCACTGGGCGGCGAGCGCGCCGTGAGTGTGTCGGCTGGAGATGGCCACAACCTCGCCCTCACAGCCGGCGGCAGCGTCTGGAGCTAGGGCGATGGAGGCTTCGGCGATCTGGGCCACGGTGACCAGCAGCACCAGTGCGAGCCGAAGGTTGAGGCTTTTGATCAGCACGTCGTCGCTGTCTCGGCTGGAGGCTTCCACAGCCTCGCCCTCGCCGCCGACGGCGGCGTCTGGAGCTGGGGCTATGGAAACTCTGGCTAGCTGGGCCACGGCGACCCTGGTCCAGCTGCTGCCGAAGAAGGTCGAGGCCATTGCTGGGCAGCGCGTCGTCGCTGTATCGGCTGGGATCGCCCACAGCCTCGCCATCACCGCCGACGGCGCCGTCTGGAGCTGGGGCGAGGGACTCATTGGCAAGTTGGGCCACGGCGACCAGCAGCGCCAGCTGCTGCCGAAGAAGGTCGAGGCCTTGGCTGGGCGGCGCGTCATCGCTGTCGCTGCTGGATGGACGACCAGCCTCGCCCTCACCGCCGACGGCGTCTGGAGCTGGGGTCAGGGAGGCTTGGGCGTGCTGGGCCACGGCGACACGCGGAGCCAGCTGCTGCCGAAGAAGATCGAGGCCTTGGCAGGCCAGCGTGTCGTCGCCGTCGCGGCTGGATACTTCCACAGCCTCGCCCTCACCGCCGACGGCGCCGTCTGGAGCTGGGGCGAGGGACTCATTGGCAAGTTGGGCCACGGCGACCAGCAGAACCAGCTGCTGCCGAAGAAGGTCGAGGCCTTGGCTGGGCGGCGCGTCATCGCTGTCGCTGCTGGATGGACGACCAGCCTCGCCCTCACCGCCGACGGCGTCTGGAGCTGGGGTCAGGGAGGCTTGGGCGTGCTGGGCCACGGCGACACGCGGAGCCAGCTGCTGCCGAAGAAGATCGAGGCCTTGGCAGGCCAGCGTGTCGTCGCCGTCGCGGCTGGATACTTCCACAGCCTCGCCCTCACCGCCGACGGCGCTGTCTGGAGCTGGGGCAAT